TGCCAGCCCTTCCCCACAACAGGGCGGCTGCACCTGATGCTCACCTGTCCCCAGCTTTTCACATTCTGACCTTTCAAGCCTATGCTGCCACTCCCCTGTGAGGAGGTTCATGTTTCATGGCTGTAGCTGGTGCTGCTGAAGGTGGTTATCTTTAGATCATTGCCACCCTGCAGCCTCCACTCTTAAAGATTCAAGGAGCATCTTCATGTGTGATGGGCTTGCCTTCATAGACAAGGTTTTCTTATTTTCCAAGCAGCTTTCCCTGACTCCCTCTCCAAAGTATCCTCCCCTAAAAAAGATAACTACATGGGAGAAGGTAGGATAGAGGTCACTAGAGGCATGGAAGGGGAGAGGACAGTGACAGGGTGGATAATGGGTACAGTTAGAGGGATAGAAGTAGGTCCAATGTACTATTACACAATAGGATACCTACAGTTTATTACACATTTCAAATAAACAGAGAAGAGTTTAAATGGTCCCAATTCATAGAAATGATAATATTTGAGATGGAAATACTGAGTATTCTGATTTGATCATTACATATTATGTACACTTATCAAGTTTTAATACTGTGCACTATAAATAAGCACAAATGTCAATTAAAAATTAAATATAAAAATACTATTCAGTAATAAAAATGAATAAACATCATACATGCAAAAAGTAAAACAAAAATTACAGAGAATTATAAGACCTATTTTCAATGTTCCTCATCCCCACTGTTCATCATGTCTTACAATATTTGTTCCATGGAGAAAATTGAATTAAAATTAGAATAAATTTTTGAAAAACAAAATAATAATAATAATAAAGTGGTCTTCTCCAGTTATGTTCTGTTCACCCTGTTAATTCATTTGTAGAACATCTCAAGGCATTAATAAGTTTATTATGCAGTTATCTTTCAATTGTCTATTACTGTGTCTCTACCCAAACCCAGAATCCAAGCAAGGTCTTACTATGTTTCACTCCTCAGCACAATGTTTGGCAAATAGTAGGAGCTCAGTAACTATTTCAGAAGTAAATGAAAACACTAATAGTCCACTCTCTGCTGCTATACAGTTGTATAATTTGGGGCTAGTCATTCAACCTGTGCAACTTTTAGCATTCTCTTCTGTGAAATGGTTGTGATTGGCTACACTTAGGGAGAAAATAAGAAGTTACTGACTTATGACCTAAACTTCCAATTACAAGGGGATTTGAAAAATTATAGGGCTGAGGATGTAGCTTAGTGGTAGACAAACTGCCTAGCATGCGGAAGGCCCTGAGTTCAAGCCCTAGCGCCACCAAATTAAATGTGTGTGTGTGTGTGTGTGTGTGTGTGTGTATATGTATGACTTACCAAAATGAAGAATTATTCTACGGACATTTTCAGTTGAGAAATTAATGTAGGAAAATGTATGAAAACATTATATACCCCTTCTCTCTCATATGCCTGTTAAACAAAGGAAGAGTATACTGGCTACAAACATATATACAAGTAATAATGAAATATGAAAGGAAGAAAATAAAATATGGGTGATTCTCTTCCCGTGTGTGGGGGAGAAGCTTTTGCCAAAACAAAATTTCAATTCAATAATTAGATGTTTTAAAATAGCACATTAAAAGAAGCGGGGGCGGGAGCTGAGGCTATAGCTCAGTGGTAAAGTGTTTGCCTTGCATGTGTGAGGCACTGGGTTCAATCCTCAGCACCACATAAAAAGAAATAAAGATACTGTGTGTTCAACTACAAGTAAATAAATATTTATAAAGAAAGAATCAAAGAAAAAAAAGGGGCTTTGAAAAGTCTAAAAAGGACTAGAGATATAACTCTAGGAAACAAAATCTCCATTTATTGGCCATTTCTGATGTGCTATCTCTGCCCTATATTAACTAAGGCACATATCACATGTGTTTATTTATTTTTGATTTTTTAATTAACTTTTTAAATTTATACATGACAGCAGAATGCATTACAATTCTTATTACACATATAGAGCACAATTTTTCATATCTCTGGTTGTATACTAAGTATATTCACACCAATTTGTGTCTTCATATGTGTACTTTGGATTATTACATGTATTTATATTTAATCTTCTGCAACACAGGTATTATTATTCATACTATTTAAAAGAAAAATTAGGCAAGATTTCACCTAGTGTTTCCTCAAATGTCATCTTAATGAGGCCTTGCAAACTTACCCCACTCCTGAATTCCCTGTCTCTACGACACATGTCACCAACACTAAGCAACTTATTTATTTTCGGTCTCCCCCAATGAAATAAATTCCACAAAGCAGAGATTCCCCCCTACCACCCCCCTTGCTTTGTTCTCTTCTGGAATCCCAAATGCGCAGAAGAAGACTTGACACAGAGTAGACTATTTGATGAGTGGGTGAATGAATGAATGAATGAACAGCTGAATGTACTGGAACACTTCACAAGGGGGTTCTGAAGCTCTGTTCATCTCCTCCCCACCCTATACACCAGCACTACTGAATACAAATCTGTATACTGCATAGAGGCTGCTCAGGAAAGAAGACACAGTGAGTAAGGCTAGCAGCAGGCAATGAGGGAAGACAAGACAGAAGAATACCTCCTGCCGGAACAGAGAGAGAATCACGTTCTTGAGAAGTGAACACCAAGTCAGTGTGCTTATTGTCCTTTCTCACATATCATGAAATATGATGATATTGGTCACCATGGCTTTGAACATGCATAAAAGAACAGATAACAAAACCTGTACCGTATGATGAACTGAGCCTAATCCAGGACACGTTTTCTGGCCAAGGACAACTCCCAAAAGTCTACAGCCATATGGCACAGGAGGTTGAAAAGCAAATCTGGAAACCTCTGAAAAGCAATATAAAGTTTCCAGCAGCCCCACAGTGCTGAAGAGATGGGATTGGAAAGGTGGTCCTACTGGGTTGAGGGGACCAGTAACACTCCCTGCACTGACCTGGAATTCCTGGAAGGCAATATCCTAAAAATGAGGGAAAACAGAAAGAGTCTGAACCCTCCCAGAACTGCCCCTGCCTCCTCACTGAGAGGGTGGCCCACCAGCATAAATAACCCCCCATTTATCTACAGATAGCTTTCTCTGTCCAGAGATGTCTCACTCTAACATCAGCAGAAGCCCTGAACCCCTCTGTAGTTGTCATTCATAATGTTGGACATTCAAATTATGGCATGATGAGAAAGACAACCAAAAACCAATAACAAGAGAAAACACCAAACAGTAGAAAACAGATCAAAAATTCACCTGGATATTTGAATTAAAGTCCTTAGAATCTATGATTAATATGTTCAAGAACTAGAAGATGGCAAATATAGTTGCTGTTGTTTTCACATTGAGAATTTCACTTCAAAATTTTACTCTAAAATGGAAAATCCAAAATAGAAAAATAACTAAAATTAAGCATTCTGTAGATGGGTGTTTACAAGTAGAATAGGCACAGGAAACCCAGTAAACCAGAAGACAGTTATATAGAAACTTTCTAATATCTGAATTTAGTATAAATTAAAAACTAATTTTAGGGCTAAACATCAATTGATTTCTATGGTAAAGACAAGAATAAAAATAAAACAAACAAGGGGAAAGTGGTAAAACATTGCAGTGTGCACATGGCCCTGGGTTTGATCCCCAGAGTCATAAAAATAAATAACAGCCTACTATGTGCTTACAAATATTCTAGATGCATTCTTATGCAAATCATAAAGCAACTAATAACATTAATAACCTATTGATAGTCCTATTTTACATGCACAACTGAGATACAGAATTTAAATAATTTTCCAAAATCACCTAGCTATCAAACTCTGGGTGACTAGGATTTGAACTCAGGCAGTTTGGTTTCAAGACTCAAGTAAATGTTCAACCATATTATAGTAATTAAGAGCAATTGCAGTTTGAAGAGGTATTCAATTTCTTCCTGTTATTTTGAATTAAATCTCCCTGAAAATCTTTAGATGGAATTATTTAATCAATGACTGATCTAATATAAAGATGACTTGGCAAATAATTTAAAACTAATTACAACGTGAGCCATGTTGCTTTTACATTGTGCATCTAAGGAAAGTTTGGTCAGTTGGTCAAAACAGTCATAACAAGTGGCTCAAAACATAGGAAAACTTAGAAGGAAAGAAATAATCTCCAGTGTCAGCCTTGAAAATACAAACCAAAGAGATAAGAGCACATGTAACAAAATTATGAAAGAAAAATATTCATCACAAATATACAAAGGCAGAAACAGTAGAACTATCTAAAGAGATACTCCACTTCTTTGAAAACCCAGATGGGGCCCTGAAAAATCCATGCTGAGTACTGCATCTGACTGCAGAGTTTAAGGTGGGCTCACCTTTTATCTCTCATGTGGAATTACAAAATGTTTTTTGAAACTATTCTGGCAGGAAAATCTTGCCTTGCATATCATTTGCTGAGAAAGCCACCAGGAAGTTTTCTCCAGGTTTAATTGCCCTGGCTCTTGACTATCTACATCTGAAACTATAAAATTGATTTATATAAAGTGAGAGAATACTAAAAAAAAAAAAAGTCAAAAAAAAATCTGTCAAAGTTACCTTCCCACATTTTGCCATTAAAAATAAAGATAACAAAAAATGTTTTTGAGTTCAAGAACAACCACTGCCTGTACTCAGAAGATGAACATCTGGACCTGAGGCTTTTTTAAAGTCTATGTTCCTGGACTTGATTTTCATGAAACATTATTCAAACGACTTCTTATGATACTTGAAAAGCTGACATTCTCTGTTACTTGTACTACCTCTCAGGTGGGCCAGAGAGTCACACCTGGGTGTATGGCTTCTAAAAGTGGCTGAGGGATCTCACTCTCCCAGGCATATCCAACCATCACCTTTCATAGCAATGAGAACCCATGACAATTCCAGAAAACATCTATGACTAAGTTTTGGAAACTGCAGGTCACACAGTTTCTTCAGCAAGAATTTAGAGAAGGTTCTTCACGACTATAAGAGACTGGTAACATTCAAAAATATAGTGCTTACCTTTGAATACTTCTGTAACTCAGCATCATCAGCAATCTGTGTGTCCAAAGTAGCAACCTAAATTTCAAAGAAAAATATTTCCATATTTGTCAAAGCACAAATTTATTTCTTCATAGGTTTTCTGAAAACATCTGCAAAACCTATAATATGTTGACCACTCCATCTGAAAACCTCTGTCCTGTATTTCCGAAATCACATATGTATAGAACTTAATATAAAATTGTTATATTTTTGTTCAATATTAATCTTTTTTCCTAAATTACCCAAAAGTTAAAGGAAGGGTAGAGGCAAATATATATAATTGTCTCTCACTTATCTGCTGGGGATTAGTTCCAGGACTTCCAAGAATACCAAAATCCAAAGTCCCTTACATAAAATGGTATAGTATTTGCATATAATCTTAGGAATATACTCACATACACCCTTTAAGTCATCTCTAGATTAATCGTAATACATAATATAATGTAACTGTTGTATAAATGGTTCTTATGTGTTTAGGAAATGACAAGAAAACAAAGTACAGATGCAAATTGTTTTCAATATTTTTGATCCACAATTGGTTGAAAAGAATGTGGAATCTACAAACATGTAATCAACAGATACAGAGAGCTGACTCTACCATTTTTAAAAATCCTCGATCCCTAAAATGTTAATATAATCCTTCATTATATTGAATCCATAAAAATTATACTCTTTTGACAAAAGTAAGAGCATGGCTATTTTTACTTTCAAAGTTGGTTCTTAAAATTTGCAAGGTCAGTAAAGTCAGGCAAATTTGGTAAAATAGAGAGTCTGACTTTTTATAACAAGCTCAGGTCACTTCCCCAGGAGAAATAGCTGGCAAAGGCACAAACAGAAAGATCTGGTCCCTTGTGGGAAATGTGGGGAATACTTAAAGCTTTAAATCCTGGCCTAAAACTATTGTTCTGAGTTTCAGTGGTGGACATCCAAAGAAGCAAATTCCTTGCAAGCAGAAGTACTTCATAGATGATTTGCATCTGTAAGTTGTTAATAAAATATGCTGCATCTGGAGGGAGGGGATAAGTTAAACAATGATCCAACTAAAGCTTCTAAAAGTACATTTCAGATAAGTAGACCCTTGAAGAAAATAAGAAATAGTAGACTATGTGCATTCATTCATCCATCTTGCCTGGCTTCCCCTTTTTGCCCCTCATTTCTCAGAACAAGAAGCCAACAAGTGAATAAGCTGTCACTTTAAAGTTCCAACTTTAATTTCCGTCTCCTCTTTTTAATCCCTCGGTTATGACTTCACCATAGAATCAATAAAATCTGGAAGGTAGTTATGAGGAGGATAAAATTTTAACAAACAAAAGCCTATCACAATATTGGCCATTGGTGAATCCTGGTAAACCACATTCTTTTGAATAACAAACTACTAAGGATAGGGGGTAAAAGGCCATTTGCTAGGTGGTAGGCTAATGACAGGATTCTCAGTCTGTGGAGTAGAGAAGCAACAGTTATGAGAACTGACAAACAAGCACAAAATTAGCAAAGGCAGTTTAAGTGTGAACCATTTGGACTCATCTTAATGACACTGGAAATTTCCTGACAATAGCAACTGGATATTCAAAACCAAGAGAAAAAGAGTCTCCAGGAAGTATTAATGATAAACATATGTAAGAAAATGTGAATGACAATAGAAATTTAAAATAATATTTGATTACTACCGCATTTGTAAACCTTGCCTGGGCTTTTCTAACACCACTTTCTGCTTTCATCTGGATTCATATGGGGAAATGTAACCAATCCCTTACTGGATGAACCTAATAACAGGTGAAAGGAAGCCTAATGGACCACTGGCACTATAAACTTATACCTCACCTAAATTACTTCCTGTTCTTCTAAATACATTTGATAATTATTCTTTCATTTTTCTCATAAAACTGTAAGATTCTTTGTGAAACATAGGACTAATATCCACAGTCCCTTTCGGTGTACAATAAAACAAACAGATCATAAAAGCAATCATAAAAATGCCAACAATTTTAAGCAGCTGATCCAGGTATTTAAAGGCGAGCCCTCTCTCTCCTAATATTTTTCTGCCTATTGTCAACTTAAATGATTTCAACATGAACTAAGTGTCTACTAATCGTAACTGAAGCTTATGTACAGTCCTTAACTATTTTATATAGCTTAAAATGATAAAATTAAAAAAGAAGGAAAGGGGAAAAAAAAATCAATTGATCCAATAGAGTACAAGGCAGGATAAAAAAAAAAATTAAGGCAGGCTAGTTATTATTTGGCTCTCCCATTTTTTTCAATTGTAGTGTTAGGAGCTTGACATGAAATGAGACGTTGAATGTTTTTTATTAGAGGATTTTAACATACCATTACTTCATAATCAGGGCCCAGTAGGTTTTCCCATCTGGATTTCAGCTCATTTTCTGGAGTGTTTGGGACTCTTTCTGGACATTAAAAAAAAAAAAAAAAAAGAACGTTAAAGCTACTGTGAGCCAAACACACTTAACTACTAAATTCTTCAACAAAAGCACAGTTTCAGTAAGTAAAGGGGAAATGAATAAAAAGGAAAATGCATTAACTTAGGTCCACTAGGAAAAGTAAATCAGAGGTAACTTATAAGACTAATGTTAATGTAAAGACCAGCTATGACAAAATTGTGACGGGGCTTTTGTTGTTAAGGAATATCTTGAAGGAAAGAGGAAATGATGAGTTATAAGTGAAATTTGAATTATACAGAGTTTATATGTAAACATTCTATAGTTTAACAGTAAAATGCATCCGGCTTTGTTTTATTTGTTTATGGCATACAAGGATTTAATTTAAAGGTTTATCGTTCCAAAATAGTGCCATTCCTCCTACCCACTGGAAAAATAAAAGCTCATTGAGACATCTTTACAATCCAGTGTACCAACACAATACGAGCAGGCGCCCACCTCTGCAGATGGATACACAGGCCTGTCTGGTCTGACTCCAAGCTGTATGAGTTTTAAAGAACACAACCTTTGGTCTGACACCAGTCTTCTGTCCCTGTTATTAGGATCTGTGTATCTTTATGATTTGCTTGATGTAATATTGCCTTTCTTGCCTCGGTAAGATCATTTGAAAGTGCTAAGACAGATTTTAAGTGTCTTGCCTGTCCTCCATGTGGTCTTAGCCAGATGCTCAGAGCAGTTTGTAGTCTGAATAACATCGACCAGAAAAAAAGCCCATGTGCAAAAACTACAATTTTAACTTATATTCACATTAATAACAAATAACGAAAAAACTTCCACCTTCTTTCTTTAAGTTAAACTCTCAATTTGGTCATAAGCTTGGACCAGTTACAGAACACTTATCACAACTGACATGACCATCTGCCTAAAATCAGACGTCATATGCAGCATCAGCTCTTTCAGTCTTCAGCACAGACAGCTCATCTCAGGTGCATGTGATGCTTGATCACATAACACAAATCATTAAGTAAAACAGGCTAACCTCAGAAACCAGGGTCTAAGACTAATGAACACTAGAGAACTTGAATTAACAGACATACAAAAGAACATCCATGAAATAACTAAATTAACTGACTGATATGCTAGATTACATTTAGGCAATAACCAAAGATCCTATTAAAAACAAGATATCAAATTCACTTGGGCTTTGCACATTTGTGTCTGTGTGTGCCTGTTAACATTTCCTTAAGAAATTCTAGGAGTTCTTTAGAAATTTTTAAGAGAGTTCTAGCATCTTGCCTGATAAGTTACGTTCCAGGCATTAATTTCTTATGTGTAAATGAATCTGAATAAAAATCTGCAATGTACTGTCTGAATTCTAAGCCTAAAAACATGATAGTTAGATGACAGTTCATACACATATATAAAATAATGTTGATATTTTACCAATAATTTTTTTGACTTTCCACCTTTCAATTATATAATAAAAACACAGTTATGCTTTATAAGGCACAGCATGAAGGACTACATGTCAGAGGAAAGAGATTAATTTACTTTCAGGAGCTGAATAAATTCTAGGCTACACAAAATGATCAAACAAATGATTAACATGACTATCTTAAACAATTATTCCAAAAGCAAAAAAGAAAATTAACTTTATAATAGAAGATCTGAGTTTTACTACCGAGTTAAAATTGTTCATATGCATGAAGAAAAAAATGTAGTGAAGTTGATCCAAAAAGCATGAATAGCCTAGAACAGTGGTTCACACCTGTAATTCTAGCAACTTAAAAGGTCAAAGTAGGAAAATCGCAAATTCAAAGCCAGCCTCAGCAACTTAGAGAGGCCTTAAGCAACTTAGCAAGACTGTCTCAAAAAAAAAAAAAAAAAAAAAAAACTAAAAACTAAATAGGGTTGGTGATGTGGTTCAGTGGTTAAGCACCCACACCCTGAGTTCAATCCCTAGTACCAAACCAAAAAAAAAAAAAAAAAGCACATATAAAATACATCTAGCCAGTGTGATGGCCTAAGCTGGAAATTCAAGAGACTCAGGAGGCTGAGGTAGAATGATCACAAGTTCAAGGCCAGCCTCAGCAATTTAATGAGACCCTGTCTTAAAATAGAATATAAAATGAACTATGAGTATAACTTAATGGTAAAGCATCCCTGGGTTCAGGCCCAATACCAAATATGTAAATCTGTTTGTTTATTTGTTTATTTATTTCTAACTTCAGAATGTATTTTACTTTCACCTGACATCTCACTAAAAATAATCTGAGCTCAACTGAATTAAAATAGCAAGGATTAACTACTATTTACCTAGGTCAAAAATAAGAAAGGTAGGTTTTCAAATCAGGAACTTTTTTTTTTAACTTAAATTAGGGGCTAACTCCCTCCTTGAGGCCATTCTTTCATGAGGCAAGACAAAGCTAAAATGTCTCTGGAAAATGGATAGTGATAAGTGTTCCAAGGTGCTTCACTCAGTTGACAAGGCTTTTCCTGAGCATCTGTGTGTGGGAAACTGGATGAAGCTGTGACTCCATATCTATGCAGAATATTGTCGATTGTCATAGCTGACGTATCAAAGTACAAAGCCAAAGGAAGAAGTGCAGAGCAATTAAAAGGAAAATCAACAAGTAAATATATAGCATCCTGGAACTTTGATGCAATATAAAAATATATACATTATTGACTTGGATTGTGGCTCAATGGTAGAGGACTTGCCTAGCACATGTGAGGCACTGGGTTCGATTCTCAGCACTGCATATAAATAAATAAAATACAGTTCCACTGACAACTAAAAAAATATTAAAATATATATACATTTACACATTATTAATTTTTATGGTGAAAGGGAAACACTGCTACATGTATAGATAGCTATAATCTAGGAATATTCATCAATGCTAATATACAAGCTAAAGTACGCAATAATTAAAAATGCTAAGAACAAGATAAAAAACAGTCATTACATACTAACAAATACGCACTCAAAATTAATGGAATTAACAGATTAAACAAGAACATGCTTGGTCCCCTACTGCCGCAAACATTAAGATTTTGATATTATGAATACCCCATTTTAAATCTTCAAAATGTCTATGATTACTCAGATGAACTATAAAGAGAGGAAGTGGTTAACAAATGAAAAAAGTCAAAGTGCTCTGAAATAAATGCTTTGGGCCTACCCAATTTTTCTAAGGCTTGTATACTGTCCTTTTTTTGATTATCCATTCTTTCTTCAATTTCCTCATCTTCTGCATCCAAATTAGTTTCTGTTTCCACTGCTCCAGTTATAAAGAGAGCTGGTGATTTGGGTGGTTCTACAACAGTTCCTAAAACAAGAACAGAGACTTGAATCGCCAGTAGCTGAGATGCGTATTTAAGTAAACATAGGTCACTCCTATTCTCCCTTTTCAAAACTTCATTAAGGCCATCTCAGGTAACTTATACCTTTAATTTCTTTAACCTAAAATGCCATGTGTAATAATCAAGAGATTCCAAAAGTAAACTTGTTGATAGTATTAAAAGAAAAAGGAATGAAGCAATGTAAAAGAAAAGAAAGGTGAAGTCCATGACAAAGCAAGGGCAGATGATCTTCAATACAGCTTTAGAACAGGAGAAATGTCAAGGCTTGATGCTCTTGCTGTTGTGGTGGGTAGGAAAAAAGATATGCATAATAAGCTAAACCAATTACTCTGGGCTCCACTAGGTTCTAGCATGTAACCACCATATGTATAACAGATTTATTAACTGCAAGGGACTGGGAGGGAATTCCCCTGGGTGCAGACCATTCCTCTCTCTTCACTCAGCTAAGTAAAGTACTAGGAGCAATCCAAAGTCATCAGAAAGTCACTATGTCTCTCAAATATAAGAAAAGTTGAACAAGTTTCATAATAGTTTATTTTGAAAAGAACTGTACATTATTTATAAAGTATTCTTATTAAAATGTTTAGCCTGAATATCATTCTGACCTAACTTCTTCTTCATTTGTTCCATAGAGCTGTCAAAAATTGCCAATGCTGACTATATTTCAAATTGTCATGGTGGGATATTGGGAAAAATATATTTTTTTTCCATAGTGGTTGTACTAATTTACAAATCCCACCAAGAGTAAAAAAGTGGTTTTTTTCTCCCACATCTTCTCTAGCACTTACTATTGTTTGTAATCTTGATGGCTTGCCATTATAACTGGAGTGAGAGGCAATCTCAGAGTAGTTTTGATTTCAATTTGCAATAATCTTGCTGAGGGTAAATCTCATTGGCTATGATATTGCTACTGCACAAAGCTAGCTCTTTTTTTCTTCCAAGTATTTTACTGGTATAATAAAATTATACGTAACAGATTTATTATTACATATTTATAAATAAAACAATATAAAATATAATTTGGTCAATATAGTCCCTAGTATCTCCCCTTTTCCTTCCCCTGGTCTCTCTCCTCTCCTCTACTGGTGGTCTCCCTTCTATTTTCATGAGAATCACCCCCACTCCATTTTTTTTTCATTTTCTCTAACTTCCATGAGAGAAAATACAACCCTTGACTTTCTGAGCTTAGCTTATTTCATTTAACATAACAGTCTCAAGTTCCATTTTCCTTCAAATGATATAAATTTATTCTTCTTTGTGGCTAATAAAATTCCATGTGTTTAGATATCACATTTTCTTCATCCATTCACCCACTGATGGACTAGTTCATGCTTTGGCTATTGTGAATTGCGATATTAGCTTGGGTATGCATGTATCTCTACAATTCTTCAGGATAAATACCAAGGAGTGGTATAGCTAGGTCATGTGTGGTTCCATGCTTAATCTTTTGAGAAGCCACCATGATGATTTTCCATAGTGGTTATAGTAATTTATAAATCCCACCAAGAGTTAAAAAAGAGTGTTTTTTCCCTCCCACATCCTTTCCAGCCCTTATTATTGTTTGTAATCTTGATGGCTTGCCATTCTAACTGGAGTCGTAGTTCCTTAACTATGTAACTCCTAACTCAAAGGAAACATAGGTAGAACAAATTAAATAACACCACAAGGAAAAAAATTCAGAATGTGGCTTTCTAGTGACATGTGGACTAATCCCTTCAACAGGTCTATGCCAGAGAAGAGGGGAGGGAAGGAAATAGTACTGGAGACTGAAATGGAGAAAACTATTATATGCATTTCTAAATATGTCAAAACAAACCCCACTATTATGCATAACTAATGCACTATTTTTTTTTAATTTTAATAAAAGGTTAGGCTATGGGGGTGGAGGTGAATTCTTCTAGATTAATGACCCCCCCCCCAAAAAAAAAAATGACAAATGCAATGAATACAATGCACGACTGGGCCTTGGTTTGTGGCAGTTTTTTGGGAAACTGGAGTTGGGAAGGAGTAGAAAATGAAAGTGTTAAAGACAGTTTTGGGAAATTTGGAACTTCAAGCACATTTTGAGTATTTGATATTAGGAATTACTATTAATTTCCTTTGGTGTGATAAAAATATATAAGAAAATGTCCTTATTTTTATAAGATAGACTAAAGTTTATAAAGTGTCATCATGTCTACAACTCACACTGATATGGTTCAGCGTAAAAAAGGTAACTAGATAAAGAAATACGACAAAACAGTAACCAAGGATCTAAATAGTGTGTTCTTTGAAACTCATTATATTATTCTTTTTCTGTTTGTTTAAAATTTTTTTAACAATAAAAAGTTAAAAAATATAGCCAGTTAAAAGTTCCTATGAGGGGCTGGGGATGTGGCTCAAGCGGTAGCACGCTTGCCTGGCATGCGTCAAGGCGCTGGGTTCGATCCTCAGCACCACATAAAAATAATGATGTGTCCACTGAAAACTGAAAAATATTAAAAATCTCTTTCTCTCTCTCTCTCTCTCCGCTTAAAAAAAAGTTTCTATGATCTTAACATGAAACTTTAAGCACTATATTTTATTTTTTAGATAATGAATCCATTCATATCCACAAATGCACAGCCAACTACTAGAATAAGAAATGCCAGCCGGGTACGGTGGCACACGCCCATAATCCCAGTGGCTCTGGAGGCCGGGAAGGAGTTCAAAGCCTGCCTAGCAATTTAGCAAGGCCCTAAGCAACTCAGGGAGACCCTGTCTCTCAATTAAATACAAAAAAGGGTTGGGGATGTGACTCAGTTGTTGAGTGCCCCTGGGTTCAATTCCTGGTACAAAAAAAAAAAATGCCAACCATTCATTGCAACATTATTCACAGTAACCACCAGGTATAAATCACATAAGTGTACATTAAAAATAAATACATAGGTATGAAAAATTGTGCTCTATATGTGTTATATGAATTGTAATGCATTCTGCTGTCATATATAACAAATTAGAAAAAAAAATTTAAATGACTATTTAAAAAAAGAATACATACATTTAAAAATGTAGTACAAACGGTGGAACATTATTCAGTCTTAAAAATGTAATTGGGCTGGGGCTGTAGCTCAGTGGCAGAGTGCTCGCCTAGCATGTGTGAGGCATTGGATTTGATGCTCAGCACCACAAATAAAATAAAGGCATTCTGTCCATCTACAACTACAAAAAAATTTGGAAAAAAAAAAAAAAAAGAAAGAAATTCTGTCACATGCTGTATATAGCAATGGTGAAACTTGATGACATTACACAAAGTGAAATGGTGAAATGAGCCCATGGTAGAAGAACAAATGCCACAGGATTCTTCTTGCTTATGTGAGGTAGCTAAGCAAAGTTATAGAAATGGAAAACAGAATGGTGGTTGCCAAGGACTGAAGAGGGAGAAACAGGGATTTATTTAATGGGTATGCAGTTTTGATTATGTGACAGAAAAGTTCTGAAGATCTCCTGCACACAATGTGCAATAGAGTTAACAATACTGTCCTGTATACTTAAAAATTTGTTCGGAGGGTGAATTTAATGTTAAGTGTTTGTTACCACAATTTTTCTTAAAAAATGCCAATCAGAGCTGCTAGTATAGCTGGGGAAAAGTGTTATACACCACCAAATTTTACAATACAAAGTAGTATGTATGCCTCTAGGAGTAAACAAATAGGTACAGGAATGCATATTGAAGGTATATGAAGCATAGCAATTTAGAGGAAAACAGTGGTGACCAGGCACAGTAACACATGCTTATAACCCCAGGGACTCAGAGGCTGTCAGGAGGATCAGGAATTCTAGGGCAGCCTGAGTAATTCAGCAAAACCTGGACTCAAAATAAAAAATAAAAAGGGCTGGAGATGTGACTCAGTGGTTAAAGTCCCCTTGGGTTCAATTCCCAGTAATGGGGGTGGGGAGGAAGGGAAAAAAGAGGAAAGGAAAAAGGAAAGGAAGGAAGGAAGGAAGGAAGAGAGGGAGGGAGGAAAAGCAGGAGGAGGAGGAGAAAAAAGGAAAAATAAAAATAATAAAAAAACCTGAAGTTTGTAAAATGTCAAAGTATTAGACAAGTTGAGTGGCTCCCTGTTTAATTTTGATAAAGAGTGTCAAAGCTTTATTTTTCAAATACAAACAGTAAATGAAATTTAGAAGCTCTTTGGATTCCCATCTCTATTTTAAAGAAGCTCAAAGAGCTTAGCGCATATCAAGATTTGTGTCCTAATATTTGGATTGACACATTATAATAAGCACATAAACCACTTCTTCAAGGTACAAACAAGCTGATTCATTTCTCCATCACTGCATTACTCAAAGTGGACAATTTTTCCTACTCGAACTCACAGAAAAATTTCCATAACTTTGCTATTCTTCAAACCTAGACTCCATGAGGAATGAGGGATGCCAACATTATTTACCTCTGTCTGTAGGCCGTTCCAGGAGAGAAGAAGATGATGGCGCTTTCCTGCGAACTAGGGTTAGGTGTACCAACTGCCCTGCATTTCGTAACACTTCAACAACGTCATGATTTGCAAAACCCTGAATATTTACACCATCAACCTAAAACATTAATGGACTAATTAAACAGAGGTTTCAAATTAGCTGCTATTTTTAATCCTGGCAAAGTTGAATAATACAAAGCAATTAATGTTATCCTAATTTATACTAAACCTTAAAAGTACTTTTGAATAAAGAAGTAAAACAGGCTGACAAACTTTTACACACACTAAAAAGCAAATTCAAATTTGTACTCCTAAATCACACATTTTAACTAATAGCCTGAGAGGTAGAGGGTTTTATTCTCTGACATTATTCAAAATTCAAAATTCCATAAAGGATGGTCAGTTGTTACACATAGCTCAAGATGTGTTAATAAAAGTCATTATTATCAAAATCAAAGACATTATCTAATACTTCATCTTTCTACGTTATCACTGTAATATTTCCCAAAGAAACACACTGATGTCCCTCCATTAGGTCTTCTAATATTCTGAAAATGTATATGCAAAAATGGTATTCTTCATCAAAGTCAAGCCCAACTCCACAATTCTGAAGTTCATCAGGACCATGAGGCCTTCTCTTTCAATGTTCTGCACCTTGGCCAAACCTTTACTTATTTATCCTCGTATTTTCTCAAAGCATCTGCTACTGCCGGCCTCCAGACTCTGGAAATCACCAAGACACTTCCAAAGCCCATTAATGTAAAAGCCAAGAGCCAGAAAAGGTGCTTCCTTAGATGGACTGAAGACAAAAATTCAAATCATACCTTCCAGCATTTGTTTCCATGTAAATCACTGTGTGTGTGTGCCAGTGTGTGTATGTGTACAAATACAAAAAATATATATTGGCAATTTATTTCCTATTAAATGGAGAAAGAAATTTTAGTAAAAGGTTATATTCTCAAATATATAAAAATTTTAATTTTGGGTGTACTCAAAATTACTGTTAGTAGCAAAACTAGTTTCACAAAAAGATGAAAAGAGCTGGCTAGTGGCCTATTAATTGTATATAAAATGAGTAATTTTTAAAAACACAGAAATACTTGAAAAGCATTTCCTAGGATAATGCTAAAACATCTTTCAAATATTCTGACTACTCACAAGCATACATCCAAACATTTGTGTGATTCTCCCCTATCAATATGGTTAGTGAATTGTGTTTTTACTGGCTGCGAGAAAAAAAGTTAAATTTAAGGCCATAAGAGGTCAAGTTAATAAGACTTCACTGTACTAGTAAACTTCATTTTTTCAAAACCTTAGGAAACTAGATTAAGTCATTCTCTCAAAGATATAAAGATCAACATTTTTTTCAACTTGATTCGAATCTAAATAAGAGGTCAGTTACTTACAGCAACTATTTTGTCATTCTCTTGGATTTGGCCATTGTAGTATGCAGCACTGCCAGGTATTATACTTTTCACATAAATCCCTGAAGCTTCCCCTGAAGGTACACAGCCATATGGAAAAAGAAGAAAGCTCTAATTAGGCCTTGATTGCAAAATTCACATCAAGAGGTTAATTAGCTGAAGAGGCTGACTGGAGGTTTGATAAATACTATTTTGAACACAAGCAGAGAAATTGATGGATTATTTCAAACTGTCACCATCACAAGTGACCCGAATTCAAAATGATTTGACTGATGACTACTCTTCTGGAAAAATAATCAGTAATGGTTAATGAAATGCGCTTGAGTCTAAGCTGGAATTCAGGAGAGCCCAGGGTAAGTCTTGGTCCATCTCCATTCTCACTGCTGACTTGGCATGAGGCATTGTCATTTTTCACCAACACTGTGACAATGGTCTCCTAACAGGTCTTCCTGCCTATGCTTAGTTGGTTCATTGCTCATGTAAGCTATCCAAACACAGAAGAAAAGTACTCATGCTCTTTACGAAACCAAACCAGAATGAGCTCAGAACATGAAATAATCCTTATACCATAAAATAAAACAAAGGCTAGATAAAAAGAAGCGAAACTAGGAAAAAAAAAAAACATGGCTTGGACTAATTTTGTATTTATTTATTAATTTTCAGATGAACTCAAAACATTGCTTATTGAAGAAAAATACACATCTGTGGATTCCTGCCGCAGTCCGGCTGCAGCAAAATAACCAGGGGGTGACGAACAACTTGTGTACATTGATACAGCAGGAGTGGGAGCCATTTATTGTAGGACAACAGAGGTATTTATACATTCCAAACAGCTTATCTTAATTAAATAAACTCGATACAGCAGTCAACCAATAAGGAATCTCCACACTTAATGGCTCGCTGGCATTACTTCACAAACCACTCCCTCTGGCAAAATGCCAGGCGCCATTCAGACTTGTTTACAGACTCTAACAGATTCCCACTGCCTACTAATATATGAATTTCACAGAATTACATTCAAGGACCTCCTGATAAACTTATTTTTTGATGTCATCTCTACTATATCCCTTTAAAAAAAAATGTCTACACACACCAGATTCTGACATTCCATCAAAAACTAAGTTCTGTCATAATTTTATATTTTCTCTCATTTAATTTTTCCATCCTGTCAACCTCATCCCTTTCGTCAAAATCTTCCTTTTTAACTCCTAGCTCAAATACCTCTTTCTTTTTGAATTCTCCATTTCCCTTCATCAAACTGAATCTTTCATCTGCTATACCATGACAATTTGCTCATATCTCTACTAAAACATACATTTCAGTTATCCTCAAACATTTAAAGTTTTATTTTATTTTTTTATTTGAGACAGAGTCTCACTACCTTGTCTAGGTTGTTCTCAAACTCCTGGTCAAGTGATCTCACTGCTTTCACCTCTGAAGTGGCTGGGACTTCAGGACTACCCTATAGAACTAAACAAGGGTTGCCTAAAAAGTCCAATAAATAGAACACAGTAAAACTTATTTTTTAAGATTACCTGCATGAAAAGCATGATGAATTTTAAATGGTCTAGTTCTTTTGATTCACCTGCCCACCTTCCCCAAAACATACAATTTCAAAAACTTCTTTTGATGGTAAAGTAGTAAAATGATTATTTTCCTTATTCAATAACATAAACATCAAATTTCCTCAATTTCTATCAGTCACTCACTTTTATTTACAATCTAAGCCATAAGTTTAGAAACTAAACTATGATTTCTTAACCAGGCTTATCATATTGACAACTATTCAATACGGTATTCTTGCAACATTATTATAAAACCCAGACTTAGCTCTTTTGGAACTTATTTAAATTCTGAATCTAAAAAGGTGGCAGTTAGAAAAATCTAAAGGTTTGAAAAAAAGGCATTTCATTAGGCTGAAATAGCACAAGGTGGTCTGACATGAATTTCATTCAGGACTTTGAATATATTAGCACACTTAATCTTTCTCACCTGCTGTAAGTATGCAAAATAACAATTTTTTTTAAAAGAAATTACCACTCTAATCTTGCTATTTTTTCAGAAAAACAAAAAAAATTTGAACTAAATTCTCATGTAACCCATCGATATTTTCGAAATATTTACTTTTTTCTTACTTTAATAATTCTCTTGTAATAAAAGAAAAACTCTTAGTTAAAATTACCAAAGTTAACTTTATAGATCAAAGTTAAGAGAACGTCATTATTCAGAGATACTTGAGCCATGTATTTATCCTCACAATGCATAAATGTATTTCCTTTACGTAAAAGGAAAATAATTCTAACGAAATACTTCTTTTGTGTTTCTTTAGCAATTAAACATAAGTAATATTTTTCACAATATGCAATATATGCAGTATTTATCAGACATAATACCTTAAGATATTGTTAAATATTATAATATTTAAAATATATCTATTTTAGAACACAAGGAGGTTCACTTCACCTGCTATATACTGAATTGGACAATTAAATTCTTTGTTAATGACTATCAAACCAGTTATTAAACTACTAAGATAAAAATGTGATTCTCTGATCACTGAAAAGTAACTGCCTGCTATTACAGATTCATGGTTTTATTGTTCAAGGTTTAAATTAAGACGTGCAGGCACTTAATTTTAGTGTCTGGAAACCTTTACTTCCTTCACAATTATTTCCAAATATAAAATAGAAATGATTCATTTACCTGTATGTGATGTTCCAACATAGCCAACAATTCTAATACCAAGACTCTGTCCATCTTTTTTAATGAGTTCAACATTGTAAGTTTCAAAAAGAGAAGAATTGTCCTAAGAGGAAATAAATTATATATGTTTAGTATATGACTGTGTGGACACACTCAATTTGTGCAAGATTTGCCAAGTTTTTTCTGTGACAAGCTGCTTTGTAAGATGGTTCCTGTGACATTCAGTCCCTGGAGTTACCCCCATGTTTATGTTACATTACATGGCAAAAGGGAGATTACCAAGTGGGCCTAATCTAATCACAAAAGCCCTTTAAAAGAAGTGCTTTCTTCCACTGGTAGCAGAAAGAGAAAAAGATTTGAGGTCTGGGGATATGGCTCAAGCGGTAGGGTGCTCACCTGGCATGCGTGGGGCGCTGGGTTAGATCCTCAGCACCACGTAAAAATAAAATAAAATGTTGTGTCCACTGAAAACTAAAAAATAAATATATTAAAAAAAAGATTTGAAACATAAGAACTCAACTCGTGGTTTGAAGATGGAAGGGGTCATATAAGAAGGAACTGGGGGTGGGAAGCTTAAGGAGCTGAAAGATGTTCTGGCTGATAGCTACCTAAGAAAAGGAGACCTCAGTCCCCCAGCTGCACGGAGCTGTATTCTGCCAATAATCTGAATGCACTTAAAAGTGGATTGTTCCAAGGATGTCCAGGAAAGAGCCCAGCCAGGTCAACACCTTGATCTTGGCCTTGTAAGAAAAGAATATAAGCAGACAGCCTAGCCAAGCCCACCCTGAATTCTGACCTACAGAAATGTGAACAAACGAAGGGTAATGTTTTAAGCTGCTAAATGTGTAGTAATCTGTTATACACTAGAAAACTAACATTCACTTAGAAAAACCTCAGTAATATTGAAAATACTGACCCTAAACATTTTTGTGGGGAGGTAGGGGAAGCAGGAATTGAACCCAGGGGCACTTAACCACTAAGCCACATATCCAGGACTTTTTACTTTATTTTTTAAATTCTGAGACAGTGTCTCACCAACTTGATTAAGGCCTCACTAAGTTGCTGAGGCTGGCTTTGAACTTTTGATTCGCCTGCCTCAGCTTCCTGTGCGACTGGGATTACAGGCATGTGTCACCAGCAAATTTGCTTTTAATACTTCTCATTAATAAAAACATTTCTGTAAAGAAGGTATCTAAACATATAACACTTTGCTTTCAATTCAAAATAGGAATATTAGAAAGTCAAGTACTGAGGGCTGGAGATATAATTTAGTGGTAGACTGCCTGCCTAACACATGTGAGGTCCTGGGTTCAAGTCCCACCACCAGAAAAGGAGGGGGAGTAAATAATTGATTGGCTCGAATTCTCATTTATCACACAACTTCACTGGTCCTTCACTAAAGAAAAAGACTAGGTAGCTAGAGTAATGGAGAGAAAAGTCATGGTTATAACCACAATTTGGAGAAATTTTTTTTTTAAATTAAAGCTCTAATATTATAGATTTTAAAAGTTTCATTCCTATGGTTCCAAGTAGAAAAAGACAAACAACTTCCCAGAAGACCCTGAGTGACATCTCACAGTGGCCTTCCACCCTCAGAGTCACTTCTCTTTTCTCTCCTCCTCCTCCTCGCACCTCCTTTTTAAAGTTATTTCTTTGCTTTTGCCTTATTCATTCAGAGTCTGTGAGATAGAGTAAGGAAAACCTTGGAATGAAATAAAAGGATCTATATTCAAATAATTCCAGCTTTTGTAGATTTACTCTCTATAATGCCTTCAATAAGTTCTTTAGTTTTCTCATCTATTAATGGATAAGACCTAACTTGTAGAAGTACTGTGAAGATTTCATCATGAAGCACCTAGACATTGACTAATAACTATCATTATTATTTTATAACTATAAAAACTACTTGTTAACAAATATAATAAACATTATTATTAGTATCTAATTCCCTGTGGCCAGTGTGTTTCTATTAGTGATACTTCTCATACATACAATGATCAGTATTTATAGCTTCCCTTCCATCATCTAGATGTCTACCCACCAATCTAATAAAATCGAAATTTGGAAAATTTAAAATTTTCCAATTTACAAATCAGTAGCTGAGGCTCAAGGAAACTAAACGACTTAATCCTAAAAACAGCAAAAAAGAAAATCAGGTATATATGGTTGTCTCCAAATTGGGGTCTCCTCTGCTTCACTCTGAACAATGAGATGCTGCTACTCGTGCCCATGTGGCACTGTGAGTAGAAAGGATTTCTTATCTTTCATTGTCTCATACCTCATGCCTGATTTAAGAAGTATTAGAGCACTCACAGAGGAAGGGCTAGTGTTGGCAACAGCAGCAGGCAGGGCAACCGGCAAAGCCACAGGAGTAGGAGGCGTTTCTGAAATTTCGCCAAATGGGTCTCTAGCCACAAGCATCCTGACTGAATTCCCACAGTTCCTCAGCACTTGGGCAACTTGCTCACTTGTCATTCCCTGCACATTCGTGCCACCAATCTTCAAGATGTGGTCCCCTGTCTGAAGTCTTCCATCCTTTAATATAAGAAAAACAAAATTATTCAGAGAAATCAATCTAATTCACTAATTGATAACAATTCACCAGACTTTCAATTCTGACAAAAAGAAGATCTAAAATGTTGAGCAAAACACAGTATTTTTAATGAATGGCTGACTTGGCAAAACTAGAGCCAGGGTGTTAATGACAATGTATTCAAGGAAGAGATCAGAAAGCCTTGACCTCAAGGGAGGAGGGTCAGAACAGAAGCCTCTAACACAAAGCTAAGGAACAGGAAAGAACAACTAGCTCAGCCCACATCTGCAACAGGAAGTTGCCAGTGTGAGCAGAAGAGAATGAGGAAAGAGGAGAGTAGATGAAGAGATGAACTACTTAACAGCAGGTATTTCTCTCATGATGGGCATATTCTCAGTGTGACTGGGACCGGTAGTCATCGGAGTGTTTTAAATGGAGGAATGACATTATCTGATTGACTTTTTACAAGATCCACCAAGATTCTGTGCTTAAAATAGATTATAGGAGAAACAATCAAAGCAAAGATACCAGTTGGGAAGCTTTAGCAAAACTCTAGGAAGAGGTCACATCTTGGACTTGGTTAGTAGTTGAAGTGTTGAAATGGCAGATTCTAGATTTATTTTTAATGAACTGTCAACCAGATCTGCTGATAGTTTCTACATGGGGTATGAAAAGAGAAAAAGGAATCAGAACCCCAAGATGTAAGCCTGAGTAACTAGAAAAGATAGAATTGCTGTGAAATGAGATAAAACTACAGAGGAACAGATGAATGGGAACGAGTCTGGAGTTCCAAGCCAGAGTTACGCAGCCTGAATGCCCATCAGACATCCAGGTGGAATTATAAATTATACAGCTGGATTTACAGGGCTGCAGTTCAGGGGAGAAATCCAAACTGCACATTTGAATTTGGGAGTCAAAGCACATAGGAGACATTTAGAGTCCTGATCACAGACTTTTCCAGGTTTTTTCTGTTTTTGTTTTGTTTTTTGTTTGTTTGTTTGTTGGTTGGTAGTGGGGATTGAACCCAGGGGCATTTAACCACTGAGTTACATCCCTCAGACTCTTTATATTTTTGAGACAGGGCCTTGCTAAGTTGCTTAGGGCCTTACTAAATTGTTGAGGCTAGCCTCAAACTTGCAATCCACCTGCTTCAGGCTCCTGAATCACTAGGATTAGAGGTGTGAGCCACCAGGCTCAACAACGTGCTCTCTTTCTTAAGCTGGATGATAAGTACATTGGTGGTTATTATTGTGATTATGACATTAATATGCACAGACATTGTATTTATTCTTTTATGTGTATGTATGTCATAGAAAAATTTGATACAGCTTATGAAAATGTATGTCAGTTCAAAATATTTATAATTTGTTTGTGGAGTTTGTGAAATAGCCGATTCATCTGCAGTTTTACCAATTTGTTTCATCTGAAATTTTGATTTCTCTTGAATTACCATTTTTACAGTATATGAAAGGTAACAAAATGTCAACATAGTTGTTTTCAAAAAAAATTATGCAGGTTAAAAATCACTTTCTCATATTATCTCCTTCAGAGAACAATCAGAAATTGAGATTCAAAAAGGGTGACTGACTTGACCAAGCTCATGAAGCAGCTAAGTGGAAGAACCAAAATTCAATCCAATAGACCACTGATGTTTCTCCTCATTTACTTATATTTGCCCTGTATTTTGATATCTCCAGAGTAACGTTATTGTAGCAAGGTGATCTCTCACACATGAAGGCTATTATTAGACAGAATATTTACTGTTTCTCAAGAAATTGTAACTGCCAAAAAGTTCAAATGGAATGAAGATGAAAAAGTTATTTTGCAACTGGGAGAGCAAGACAGCTTAGAATAGAGCATGACTGTTGGGTTAATTTGATTTTTAAGCTTCATAATCCTGCTTCCAGGTGGCACCTTCTATAAGCTACAGATGAAATTCTGAAGGAAGAAGTTTTTAAAAGCCTTAAACTGAAGTCCATTCACCATCCTTCCTTTTCTCCAATTTTGCAGGATCCTGAATGAAGGAGGTCTTCAGATCAAAATAATGAGTACAAAACTCTGGGCTTTAGTATAAATACTGCAGAAGGTGCTAGAAGTAACTGCAAGTGACGATAAGCAAGTTTGCACATATACAGTTGAATTCAGACACATTTGGAAAGATCTGAGAAAGGAAACAGATGCAAGGAGAAATTATTAGAGAAAAAGGAATTAAGAATTGCCTTATTCCATTTTCCCTAATAAAAAATCATACTTTAATAATGATAATTTGATATTCTGTTCTCACTCATTCAAGAAAGTTGAAGTAAAATAAACAACTGCTCAAGAGAGTCAGTGTCCTGTGAATCAAACTACTCTTGAACAGAATTATGAGCTGACTAAAAGAGTAAAGAATAGCTAATAAATGTTTTCATACTTGACTTGGTAAAAGAGGGGCATTTCACAAAAAAAGTATATATTTAGTCACTTCATAGGCACTCTTTTTTCCTATTTTACCTCATCTCTTACTTTAAAATGATGTAGATCATTTGCATCTGTCACTAAAAGTCAAACATTTTCTTCTTACAGAAAAACAGGTGTTCTGGAGGAATTCATAAGTGCAAAAATAGTCATTAGATTGATAGGAAAGACACCAAAATGACAGCTACCTTGTCTAAGTCCAGCAGCCCCAAGCACTGCACTTTATTGATATATTCTGATCAACATTCTCCTTCCATAACCTGTAGACTGAGTGAGGGAACCAAGATGCATAATAAATTATATCTTGTTCTTTAACAGAAATCATGAATTAATTAAAGCTAATAAACAGCTATGCCAACATTCAAGCATAGGATGCTAATCAAATATTCAATTATAAGTTTATTTTAATCCAAAGATTCTTCTAAAAGGAAAAATGATGCATATTGCCAAAGATAATGTGAAAGGCAAAAAATTAAAACGTTTGATGCAACAGGATATCACACAATCATAGTAAAAATACTAATAATATCACTTATAACCTAAAAAGAAAAAATTCTTCAGTCCAAGTTAACGTCTTTTTGCTAAAAAAAAAAAAAAAAAAAAAATTCTATGTTAAGTTCTCTGATACATTGCTGTAGATAATTTCAATTAAAAATTATTTAAAACAGGCACAGCAGCTCATGCCTGTAATTCCAGCAGCTCAAGAGGCTGAGGCAGGAGAATCTCAAGTTCAAAGCCAACCTCAGCAACTTTGCGAGGCTGTAAGCAACTCAGGGAGACCTCAAAATTTAAAAAAGAAAATGAGCTAGAGATGTGGCTTACTGTTTCACACCTCTGGGTTCCATCCCTGGTATCAAAAAAATTCAAGTTAAAAATAAAAATTATTTGAAAGACTATAGAAATTCAGAGCTGAGCTACAAAAACAGTCAAGAGATCAAATTTATTACTCCAAAAACTTAAAAAGGGACCAAATATTTCCATAACTCAGAAAATGAAATCATTATTATCTTTGCTTACAGGCCGGTTCTATTATGGGTCAAAAGGCAACATGTCATTAACAGAAAACAGTGACTTTATAAAATACACACTCTTTCTATCAACAGATTAAAGTACTAAACCCAAGTCTTCATATCCTATCCTACTCAAATCCCCAGAGCACGCATCAACTGGTTTTTAAAGATAAGGAAAATATCTGTCTACAGAATCACTCAAAACAAAACTGCTTGGGGAAAACCACCAGTTTAGTGGCTAAACCTTGCTTACTCTTGACTAAAGTCCTCCATAGTCCACACCCCTGTCCAACCCTTCCTTGGTTCCATTCCTTCTTAATAGTAAAGGTTACTGGATAATTGCTATGATTCATACTACAAATGTCTCATGCCAAGATGTCAATGATTTATGACAACTTTTAAATAGGCTATGTTATCACAGTCACCTTCTGAACACAATGGGATGACCAATGGATCTTACTTCCCCAGAATTCCTCCAGACCATGTGAAAGAGGTTTCTACAAAACAAAGAAGTTTTACACCACCTGTTATCAATTTCAAAACAAAATTGAAAACTAGTTTCTGAAAAATTTTTATACTTTTGTCATAATGGGATAGAGTGCTCTAAGACATGTCTCTCAAGCACTATGGATACTCAAATACTCTCCAGTATCTGAAAGTATCTGAGGATTAGTAATAGAAAGGCCTTTCAGTTCCCCTTGCACAATATCATGTATTTTCCTACCCAAAATTGGCCCTAATTATATTAACTGACCAGTCATTATAACTAACTAGATCTCAACAAATGCTTTCAAAAAGCTTCGTATACATCAACTTTAAACTGCATGCCAGGCACGGTGGCATATGCCTGTAATTTCAGCAGCTCACGAGGCTGAGGCAGAAGGATTGTGAGTTCAAAGCCAGCTTCGGCAACTTAGTGAGGCACTGAGCAATACGGCAGGACCCTATCTCTAAACATAACATTAAAAGGGGGGGGTGGGATGTGGCTCAGAGGTTAGGCACCCCAAGTTCAATCCCTGGTACCAAAAAACAACAATGAAGCCTATTTTCTACCTAACTTCCTAACATTCGGGGTAATACACAGGGAAAGACAAGAAGAGCTTTGGAGTCAGACACACCCAAATTCAAAAGCTAGCTACTTTGGCCAAGCTGTATAGTCAAAGGTCAGTTACTTATCCTAATCTAAACCTTAAGCAATATATGAATAAATTCCTTTCTCATAAGAGTGTGGGCATTAAATTCAACAGTACATGTAAAATGTCTAGCCTAGTGCCTTGTTCATATCAAGTCACCAAATGCACCCATTTCTGATGATTCTTTAAGCTGCAGTGATCTCAATGTTGTCACACCTTCTCAACTCAAAGAGCTATTTTATTAAACCTCTTTAAAGAAGAAATACTGAACTTCTTTACTAATTTCATAACACAACAACATTCTTTGAAAAAGCAGTATTAGTTAACGCCTTTAAAAGGATCACTCTATGATCACAAGTAACCTTGATCATGCCTTCACCTAAGACAGCCATATTCCCCTAC